GATCGGTGAAAGCGGCCTCTACATTCATGACTATCAGCCCGATCCGTTTAAAGCTTGCTGGAAGGTGGGGCTTTTTAATTCTTATGCAAATTTCCAAGATTGCGATTGTGCTGAATTACTTGATGTAAATTACGCTTTTTTGAAGGTTTTCTCAAAATTTTGTATTTTTTACTTCTGACGTAAAAGTTTTCAAAAGTTTACATAACTGCGTAATTTCTACGCAGTTTTAAAAAAGACCAAAAAAATTCTTTTCAGAAATTGTTTTGTAAAATGAATGATTTTCTAAGTCATTATTTTGTTTATGTGTTGATTTCTAAAGATTTTTCCAAGGATATAAACTTTTGGCTTAGTATGAAAATAGTCTTCAAAAATTCTCGTATTAAATTTTGCTAAAAAATTTTGTGCTGGAGGTAACTGATATTTCAAAAGTAAAAGCCACTCGATAAGCAGATACATGATAATTAATATGTTGTATAAGGAAGTCTTTGTTTAACGTCTATGATAAAACAAGTTATCAGTCACACTAACAGTTTTAATGACAACAAAATACAGTTTCTAATTGCCTTTTTTGTAGAACAACTGTCATCCAAAAGGCATTTGCATTGATTTGGGACCAAATGCTTATCGCTGTGAGTGTGGTCCGGGATATCGAGATTTGAATCCACCAGATCCTGGACGGCGATGCCTACCCAGTACTGGTTACAATGAATGCGAACGGAAGGAGGATAACGATTGCTCGGAAAACGCACGCTGCATTGATCAGGTATCTGCCTATCTTTGTCAGTGTTATCATATCTGAAATAGTTTGCAAGTTCAGTCGTATTGATACGATTATGCCACAGTCTCAAGCCTCTGGAATTAAAAAGAGGTCGGAAAACTGTGCAAAACTATTTTATTATTATATTATCATCGCTATCACTTCAGTATCAGTATTTTCAGTGTTATCATTATTACGATTGTGGGAATTTTCGTAACATTTTCTAAGAATAAATCTTTAATTTCAGGAACATTTGTACAAATGCGAGTGCTTACCATCGTTTACGGATGCGTCGCCGAAGGACGCAATACCGGGAAGTGTCTGTGTGCTAGACTATTGCTCGGATGTGAACTTCTGTCCACTGAATACCACATGCAGGAATCAGGAACAGGAAGCTGTCTGTCAGTGTGATCCTGGATTTGTGGATATCAGGAAAAGCGAGAAGCGGACGCAGCTATTTGATCATGATACGCTTTGTTTGAAAATGCGCGATGTTGATGAATGCGCTCTGGGACTCACAAATTGCTCAGGTTTGAGTTTCAGCTGTTCTCACTTCCTTATGCTCTTTAATGATTTTTTTACAAATCCGAGGTTCAAGCAGTTTTAATCAGCTGCTAAGGTAATCGTGTTTAATAGTAATAAAAGTAACAGTAGTAGTGATAGTGCTCGCTAAAATCAGTGTGTCTTCCTCTGTGGAATCCTCGACTTCTCGTAGATTGCCTTTGTGACGAGTGTATATGTTTCAGGCCTTCTTTGTCTGGACTGAAAATTATGTAATTTCCTCCTAAATACCGGAAATATCAAGGCTGTTCGGACTCCCAGTATGGATTTTCCTTGTCCGTGATGTTACTAGGAAGCTTTCAAATGCCAGGTGCAGCTGTGCCAAGCCTTCGATTTTGGGCAACATACATACAGTCCATACTCCCTTAGCCTCCTTCACATATGATGTAACAGTTAGCTGAAGAAGCGAAAAGCGATTTCCTAAGCTTATCTTTGCGAAAGGCTAAGCAGCGTCTTTTTAGATCTGATTGGGACTGAGTTTACCATTGCTCGGTACTACTT